AACTAAAATCTGGCATGCAACAAATAACATTTACTTAATAAATAACACAATTGTGAGCATTTACAAATATATACATCATATAAATTTTTAATAAAATTGGTCATATAGATTGAAATAAATATATAAATAGAAACATATTTAAAAATTCTGTAATTACGAACAAATGAGATGCTTTTCGTGATTGTCTTATTAAGAGACCCCTACTTAATAAGACTTTTGCTTATATTTTAACATCATTTATCATCGTATTAATTAATAAATATTACAATTTATGTGAAAATAAAATAGGTAAAAATAATATGGAATCATATAATAAACATCGACAAGATTTTTTTATATATAAATCATAGGCTCGTAATTAACAATTTAAAAGTTATATAGTTTTGAAAATGCATTATCAAAAAAAATTATTTGATTTCAGACAAATTGTAAAAATTACAGTTAGATCAGATCAATCAAATTAAATATTATATATTTTCCGAAATATTTTTTAAATTCTAAATACCAATATTTTTTTAAAAAAATATTCTGAATATTATAGTATAATAGCGAAATTGGTTTTAATGAAACTATTATCTACTAGGCGACGGCCTAAAACATATCTCATGAAGTATTTGGTTTCATATTTGCAAAATATAATATTAATGAAAATAATTTCACAAACAATGTTTACTCAATGAACGATCTGATGATATTTATTACTAGTAGAGTCAATTGTGTTAATTCACAAATCATAACCAGAAATCTAACCGCTCTATGAAGAAGATCGTTTTTGTTCTTTCTTGTTCTTGTTAACACTCCGTATGTATCGTGGATGCGCCATGTAGTTTCCGCTTAGTGTTTCTAGAAATATTGTTGAAAAAGATATTTTTTGATTGATAATTTAATGCAACAAAATAAAATGAAACTCAATTCAAATTGAATTATTTATGACATCCGTGTTTGGGATTCTGTAACAGTACCTGTGCCAGAAAATGTATTTCGTATTTCAAAAGTGTTTTCTTACACAGTTAGTTAATACTGAAATTGATTTTAATATACTGAATTTTATCATTCAGAATAGGATTTTTTTTATACCATATAAAGCTCTCTTCCTAATCTCGGTGAAAATGGAGTGTTTAAAAACACTTCCTTCCGAGTCTTGGGGCAAAAGTGAATTCTAATCAGTCATTGGACCTTCTGCCCCGCCTATTTGTTCGCCGCTCTGCCTTCCCAGTCTCGGCGTGAAGTTCATGGAATATCGTCTGCCTCCTGGCAAAAATATTAGATAAATTGTTAATTAAATGATTAAACATTTATACATTGAAATTTTTATTACCGGTCAATGCGACGACAGCCCACGGTTGATCTTGCAATAGTTCGAGCATGTTGGCGATTTCTTCGTTCTTTTGCTCCCTGCTCCTGAATTCTGCGTCTATAATGGTGTTTAGGCCTGCCGCAGCCGCAGCCGCACTCTGTCTTTTAGACCTCTTTCCGAGTCGCGGGCCGAACCACATGCCGCTCGAAACGCCGGAACCCGTCTCGCTAGTGCCCCTCTTGTGCTCCGACGCGAGTTCCATCTCTTCGTGGTTCAGGTTGTCCGCGAGCTGTTCTAAAACTTGCCACTGAGGCCGAGAAAGGACTAGTTCTTCCTAGAATAGAATACATATTTAAAACTTTGATAAAATTACTATTTAAAAATTTGATAAAAAATATATAATAAAATTATCATCCTTCAAAACTTTCAACATATTTTCTATCAGTAGGGCATTCAAAATAATCACTCAGTATTAGTTTTTTGGTTTTTGAATTGATTATTAGGGATGTCAGAGTTTACACTCCATAACAGTCTAAAATGTCTTATTTATGTATTTATTTAATACTTTTTAACTATTTTATTCCATGTTACACTTTACTCACAGTAGACGGTTCTAAATCTGCTACATTACATTTAATGCAGGCGCACAAGAAACTACTTATATAAAAAACAATAGTAACAAAACTTATTCTATGTAATATAACATTCACCATGGTTATTTTTGAATCTTGTAATTATTTAGAAATTTTGAAACGGATATTAAATTATAATCTTCAGTTGTTCACAACACCTAACTGAAGAATGAATCGAATCCGAGAAAGCGTCCTTTTATATTGGGCTATTTTTCTAAATCGCTCTGATAAAGGATTAAGCTGTTGACACGGAATAAGTGAGAACAACGGGTTCTCATGAATAATTTAAACAGGAACGGAGTAAGTAGAGTTGACGAACGATTGAATTTTATAATAAAACATTCCAGAATTTAAACTTAAATATTTTCAATTTTCGAAGAATTTGTTTATCTCTCAAATATTTTAAACTTATTATCGTTCATATGGAATAGAAATGAATAGTGATATACCAAACTAGTAACTCTACACTTATAAGAATAACTTTTACAATGAACGTAATAATATTTATTTAATTCTGACAAGGCTAATAATTAAAAGAAATCAAGAAGTTGAAAACTAATTTATTAATTTAATTTAATTTTGTATATATAGTGTTCATGATCGAAGAAAATATTTTGAAAGTTTCGAAGGGTGGTATTTTTTTACATTTAAAGTATTAATATGACATTATTATCTATCTTCTTGTTTCGATGCTAAACCTGATTTATTTTAAATAATTTTTATAGTCATCACAATTATTACTTCCCGTAGGGTAAGTTATAGTAATCGCAGAAAAATCGAAAATGAAAAATTTTTATATATCTTTACGTTCAGGGTTTCTGAATATTTTGCATACCTTAGAAAAAATGGATGTATGTGTGTGTGGTGTGTGTGTGTGTGTGTGCGTGTGTGTATGTATGTGCGGATACAAATTTCGTCGAACGATTTCGGGAACACGGATCAACCGATTTGATTAATTCAAAAACCATTCGATTTATTTGATAAGGAGACGTGCTGATTAGTTTTTGGCGAGGCAGGTCTAGCCGTTCCGACGATACGGGGCAAAAATGCTAAAAACAGTAACTCAGTTTTAAGAGAAAGGAGCGTCCGATTTTAATAATTCAAAAAACATTTTACTTGTATTGACAAGATGAATACTGATTAAATTTTTAGAAGGCAGGTCCAGCGGTTATGGATTCTCTAAAAATACGTTAAAAAAATTTCATTTGGCGGTCAATATGTTCATTGGACATATGCATACATCAAATTATCAGATATTTTATAGAGATTTCAATAATCTATACGCATT